ATGAGTATTTGAGAGTTGAGATACCAACAAAAAAAATGGTTATTTAAGAATTATTTTTGCAGCATACTTATATTTAGGTATCTTTCATGATTTAAATTTGGAGTCCGTTTAGACCAACAGTTAATTGGTTTAGACTAGAATCGGTAAGACGAAAAAAGTAGAATCAGACAGGAAAACAATACAATTAAGTTGTATTTGGAACCTGAATACTAAGGTCATTTGATATATATTTCTCTAGGACCGTTAGCTTTTTTTTTGGGTCCATATATAATTTCATTTAAGAAATTTAATATTATACCGAAAAAGACAAATTTATCCATATATATATCATTAAATAAATAAATCACATAACACATGAAATTACAATTCACGCACCCAAAATATATATGACTAACATATGCAATATGCTCCAAATATTTGAAAATATTAACATATTTTTTTTCCAACATTTTGTATTGGCTGGGATTTTTCACCTACCGACCTAAATGTATATAGCTACGCACGTAAAATCACTACGAGCCAAAGAGAATTGAATAAATGTGCAATTGAGTCATAAACTCATGGGGGCGATAGTAACACACAGCATTCACAAGTTGACAATAATACTAATTATACGAATGCATGAATCAATTCTTAATTACAAATATATACAAAAATGACGTTCCAAATAATCTTGAGGTAATACGTATCCACAAAAAGGAAAAACAAAGGGTCCGAGTTTGAATATGTAGGTAGACGCAGATAAAATATAAGATATTTTGTATGATAAAAATATATATTTAGTTGTATAAAAACAAGTTGATCCTCTTCACATCCTTCTTAAAATCCTATAAATACTCACACCTTCTCTTCATTTCTTTTCATCACTATCTCTCTCAAACACATTCAATAATCTCTAAAACACTGAATCTATCTTTTGAAACAAAAATGGCTTCAAAGAACTCAGCCTCTCTAGCTCTTTTCTTTGCTCTTAACATCCTATTTTTCACCTTCACCAGTGCAACTACTTGTTGTACCCCAAGTCCTAAACACAAGCCTCCCCCAAGCCCTAAGGTTCCATGTCCTCCGGTCCCAACCCCTTCGGTCCCAACCCCTTCCGTCCCAACCCCTGCAATCCCAACCCCTTCGGTCCCAAGCCCGAGCACCCCTGGCTCATCCAGAAATTGTCCTATAGATGCCCTCAAACTCGGTGTATGTGGAAACGTCCTAAGTGGCCTACTCAACATACAGTTGGGTCAACAATCAACTCAACAATGCTGCTCGCTTGTCCAAGGTTTGGTTGACCTCGAGGCTGCGGTCTGTCTCTGCACTGCTCTTAGGGCTAACGTTCTAGGAATCAACCTTAACGTTCCAATATCTCTCAGCCTTCTTCTCAACGCTTGTAACAAGAAGGTTCCATCTGGATTCGAATGCGCTTAAAGGGATATCATCTCTGCATATGGATGTGCACACACAGTTTCCTTTTTAAAAATAATATACAGTTTGAACAAATGCAAGAAAGCTAGGGTTTCAATTAATGTTTATATTTGAATTTGTTCCGAGTGAAATAATAAATGTATGAGTGTTTTATTGTTCTTTGTAAACGTTCCCCGTTTTGGGGGGCGCTATTATGCTTTTGTCGTAATCTACTTCTATTTTCAATCCATTTAATGAAAGAGATTTTGTAACCAACTTGTATTTTTAAAAATATTTGCATTTGGATTATTTTACAATCTTCACATTGCCATAGTTCAGGCTACTTGGGTGTGAGATTTGATTTATACTTAAATCTATTGATCCTTTTGAAATTCATTATTTTTAGTCTTCTTTTGAAATTCATTATTTTTAGTCTTCTTGTGGGCTTAAGGCCCACATTTATCCCACAAAGAGTAAAATGGGGTCGAACATGCATGCACCAACGACCGTCAAGAGCATTGGCACTTAACTAACATGTCCTTGGCAATTATTGATAAGTTATGTTCATGCTGTTAAGATTTATGCGTGTCGTAATTAATTTGAGTGATCATGCTGTCGATCAAGGCTCAATGATGTTTACATAGGTAATTACCGAGAGATCTTGGCCTAGAATATGCGTGGTCATGAGACTGATATCAATTAAGGTTATAGTCAAATCCATGATCTGTCTTCCCTTCTTTATCTTTCACATGAGTCCTCTATGTACCTTATCCTTTTGGGTAGAAAGACTAAGAGAGTGTTATTCGTTTTTCTATTTTAGTTGATCTGTAAATTTTATAAGATTTAGAGATTTCTAAAAATCCGTAGGTTTTATCTC